TGGAATCATCCTGAAAGCTTCTTGTGCTGTGCAGGCTTGACCAACTGGGGTCTGGAAAAGCTGGGGCCCCTGGAGCACCTCTTGAGGTGATCTCTCCTTGAAGTCTCTTCAGTATGGTGGCCTAAGGATAACCAAACTTCTTACATGACATCTCGGTGCTCCAAAGGCATGTGTCTGAAGAGGTAGGGAAAAAGGGAAAGTGGGCCAGGATGAAGCCAGCTCACCTTTTGTGAACCAGCCTCAGAAGTTATGTGGTATCACTTCACTACATTCTGTTCATCAAGGCAAAGGCATGCCCAGGGTCAACGGCAGGGAAAATACACCCAGCATGATGGTGACAAACAAAAAGAACCTGAAATATTACTGTGGCTATTTTTGAAAATGCAATCAGCCACAGCTTGTATCTGCCTAAACCAGAAACCAGGCTGAAGGTACACCAACATTCACCTCTCAGGGTATTGGTTGCCTTGTCTGTATGATAAACCAGTTGGGTCAGGAGAGTGTTTTTTTAATTTACTTATAATTACTTTGATTTAACAAATCTTTTTTCTGAAACTCAAAATATAAAGCATGTAACAATGAAGCTGTTACCTTAGATAAAGATGACACAAACTCCCATCATTTAGCTTCCTCTTTGTACAGTAAGGCTCTATGCTCCCTTCCAGCTAGAACCTTCTCTGCTTTGACAATTGCATACCCTCAAGGTTGATCCCAAGTCAGGGGAAGGATTGAGCTTCTTCCCTGGCTCCCCAGCTTGTGCCTAAAGATCAAATTACCCTTCTTCTGCCACCACTCCATTACCCAGCCTGTGAGCTGACTGATTTAACCCAACAGAGATAGATTGGTGAAATCACCCTAGCAATAGGTGCTTGAGAATAATGGTACCCAGGAGGGACAGGTAAGCAAAAAGGGAACAAACCCAGGCAATTTTCAGACATCTACACTACCCATTACTTTGTTCACTTAAATAAACAGATAACCCTCAGGCAATCAGCAGCCAGAACCTCAGCAGCTACAGGAATGATTTCCTTTCACTAGATGCAAAGACTAATCAATGTGCCTTAATCGCACCACCACGTGCTCAAACAGCACGCACACATCCCTAGACAGCTCTACACTCCTGGGCACTTACTCCCACACAGGGTGGGGGTGTAATCCCCATTTCCACCCTCTTGAAGTACTGAAGGGCAATAACAGATAAAGCCCTATCCCACATGCCTGGGGTTCTCTGCTAGTAAAAGTAGTAGACTGTGTGCCTGAGATGGAGGGAAAAATGAAGGCTGAAAAGGCTCTTGGGAGTTAACTCCTCATAGGGAGAATCTTCCATTACCACTGGCCAGCTGCCTGGAGCCAACAGGGAGATACATGACGAAGTATCAGGTCTTCTCAGGAGCAGCCCCTACACCAGTCTCTAGAGTTTACTAGGTGATCCCTGACTATGTGACTATGTCCAGGGACTATTGCTATCAGGGCCCTGGACACAGGTCTCCTTTTCCCAGTGGATGGATACCAGTGGGACAGGAACTATGCTGGCCCTTGGGCCAGAATACCAGGGCACTTGACTCACTAAGAGTGGTCAGAAACTGCCTTCTCCCACTTTGGCTGTGCTCCTAAATTCCTGTCTCACAGGCCCATCCTGAAGTTCATGTGGGGAAAATTTTAGGAGTCACACATCCCAAGATCCACTTCAACCTTGAAGTATGGGACACTGGTGTCATCCCTGATTATGAATTCAGTGAGCACCTCAGCATCAGTGTTAGTGTCCATCCCTGGGATGTCCAAGAATGCCCCACAGATAATTTTGTCTTATCTGCCACAACAAGAGAATATGATGTTCTGATCTAGTAAATCTCAAATTTCTGTCATCGTCATACCCTCAGCATGATTTGGCCATAACCCACATTTCATTTAATCTTTAAAAAAGGACTCATTTTTGTAGAAAAATTAAAAGAATGTATTTATTTTTAAGGAAAGCTTTTCATCACTGCACACACTGGAAAACCAATATTGCATACCATAAATAGACTCTGACTACAAAAATAAGCATAATGGGAGTTCATGGTGGATTAAACACAAATGTTTTACTCTGATCATTGCTAAAACCCTAATGAAATAATAGTTAAGGGATAAAAACAAAAAGGCATAAACCTACAGAATGAAAAAAGAACAGAAGAGGAGCAGTAGCAAATGACAGATGTCAACCAAGTTTTAGAGACTAGTGAGAAAACAAATTAAGAGTAATTGACATCTAGGTCTGAGAAAAAAGGAAGCAAGGAGATAAGCTGCTCCGAGCAGGAGTGCCTGGAAAGGCTGCTGGAAAGGTGGTAGCTCAGGTAAGGTAAAGGCCAGTAGGATTAATGGGAAGCCTGAATTAGAATCTGTCACACCCCTAGGTTCCCTCCCCACCAGCACCCTACTAGGGAGGGGAGGTTGATAATGGAATTCACCATTAAAAGAACTTTATGATCCACATTCTAAAAGTTGAAAATGCAACTAACCACAAAAACAAATCCTTAGTGTTTTACTACCTATATGGCACATTGTCCTCAGGCAATGGGCTTGCATGCACTAAAATGGCAAGGCCCAAGGGGTAACTGTAGGCACTGCAGCTTCTGCTATACTCAGATAAGAAAAGATATTACATCCATGAACTAGAAACACAAAGGTATAAAAGGAATACCAGGAGAACAAGAAAAAGGTAAAGAAGATGGAGGAGAGCAGATCAACAATAAGAAAATAAGTGAATTGTTTAAAGTCTGCCATTTAGATAGTAAACACTCCAGAGATACACAAAGAAGAGGATACAGAGGGGAGGAAATTAGCAAAGAAATAATACAAGAAAATTTCCCAGAAAGTAGAGATTTTGGTTTTTTTATTACATGGGTCCACTGAGTGCCCAACAGAATGAATGAACAACCAGTCACACCAATCAGAGCACCAGGAATGGAAAGAAGAGCCTAAAATCTCCCAGAGAGAAAGTAAGAAACAAAACAACAACAACAAAAAAACAGGTCACATATATAAGGAATTGAGAATGAGGGAAGCAATGGACTTTCCTCAGCAAATACTGGAAGCCAATGGAACACTACCTTTCATAAAAAAAAAATTACTTCAATGTTTGAATTTTATACACAGCCAAATTATCAATCCAGGGAAAGGGAATGATCAAGATTTTTTTTAAGGTATGTAAGGTATCAAAAATGTGTACCCTTTCTCAGGAACATATTAGAGGATGTGCTCCACCAAAACAAGGGGGTAAATCAAGAAAGATGAAGACATGAGATCCAGGGCACAGGGGCCCACACACAGAGCAACAGCAAGGGAAGTCCAGCTGCGTTGTTGACCTGGAGAGCAACAAGATCCAACAGAGCAGAAGGATAGGTGGCTCCAGGAGGGATGTCTCCAAGAAAAAATGGAACTGACAGATTAACTGACAGGTGTGGCCAGGTGTAAAATTGGATTGAGGGCCTTTGTGCATAGCCACTGGAGAGGGGGAAGAGTTACTCAGAAATTCAAAGAAAGTCAAGCCAAAGAAGGCAAAGGCCAGTAAAGAATGACATCCTCAGTAAGACACCACCTGACTAAGCTCTGGATAATATTTGCTCATTTGTCATAATGAAAACACTAATTCTGGATTTAATAAAAGATACAACAAACCTGTGACAGAAAGTTGGAAGGAGGAGGAACAATATGCAAATAAGAAGTGGTCTGAGAGACTACTCATTGTTCATATTTGGAAATAAATAATATCACCTGATATGTGAGAAAAATCAGGAGATAGTAGCATACACATGTCATTTCGAAGCACAGAGCAAAAACACCCAGAAGAAACAGCTGTAAGAATCAACAACAGTTGCTTCAGGGAACTCACATTTGGGGGTTGGGAAGGAGGGGTGAACCAAGGGGCCTGCTGTTCATTATAAGCCTTACACTATTCACCTATGTATTAGGTAACATTTATGTATCATTCTGATCGAATTTTTTAAATGAATCAAAAACAAATACAATGAAAGCACAGCAATATGATTAAATTTTTGCTAGATATTGTTGCCAGTTCAGAGTTCTGCACTGGAAGTCTACTCTCCATTTTAAAACAGTGATTAGGAAAAATTAGAGAAATGGCAAAGACAAGCTAGCACTCAACAGAGATTTCTCCCAGGCACATAATCAGAAAGATAGAAAGATGTCAAATGCTGGCTCCCAAAATAGTACCAACATGGCCTGTGGGTTAGCTAAGGTTGAGTTTATTGTTACTACAGTGAGGGGGGATCACCATCTTGGAAGAGTTCTGGTGGAGTTTCAGAGTAAGGAAAGTTAGATCAGAATTTGCTGAGAATTGGAAATTTGTTGTCAGGAGGTCTCTCAATGCAGGGACTTGATTAGGATTGGGTAAGAAGCAGAAGACAACAGCTCAGGGTTGGTAGAAACAGCAAGGCAAACATCTTGAGTGGGAAGATAAAGGAATCTCAGGGTGCAAACTGTCTGTTGATACTCTAGTGGAATTTGATGGGTCTTTTGGAAGATTTCTTTGTGAACAGTCAAACCATCTGCTTGAGCAGAGCAGTCTTGGAAAAATAAAGTCAGGCTAATCAAGCTGGTGGAATAGCAAAATCATGTTTATGGGGACAGTGAGGTGTGGCTTTGTTCTCAGCATCCAGGCTGATCATAGGGGAGGATAGTTTGAGTTCCTAAAGACAATGGAAAAGGAATAATTGACCAATATTAGTGAAGGCTACCTTTGTGAATTGTCTATACCTAGGGCACCTTGGCCCACATTTTGTAATAAAACAAATATCATAGTAAACAGAGTGTTATTATCAGGAATGATAATTATACTTCTGATAATTATTCAAAACTTGGGTAACTGAACTTTAATGATCTTTTCTTCCCTAAATGATTAAGAAACTGAAAGAAAGAGAGAAAGAGGCACAGCTTCTGGGCCAAGAAGGGCACAGTGGTGACCTCACCCATGTAGAAGGAAGCAGCCTGAGGCCAGGTCCCATCCCAACTCCCTCTGGCTGCAGACATGATGTCCAGGACACTTGTTCTGTGCCTATTTAAATTTTCCAGGGTTCTAGGTATTTGAGTATTTGAGCCATTTCATTTCAGTATGTGCCTGGAAAAAAAAAAAAGGTACACACACATATATACATACATATATAAATATATGCAATTTTTTTTATCCACTAAAAGATTTTGAATAATGCACAACGGAAGGCAATGGCCCACATTTGCCATCTGCAGTTAATATGTTCTAGGGTGCTTCCCTCTTACTTTAGGGCCCAGCACAGAGCATAGTAAGAGGGCCCACCAGAACAGGGTCCATGAAGAAACCTGATTGGGGGTCTGAGTCCAGACAGCCATGGTTTCCCAAATGCTGCCTGCCCTCCCCCACTGGTTGCATTCCTGCTTTTGAAGTTCCTCTCTCCCGGAGAGGGGGTGCTGAGTGATATTCTTTCCCCACATATGAATTTCATTTTCTGACTTAAACAGTACTGAGCCAGATTACTTATTTTCAGAACCAATCTGTGAGTAAACGTCATCAACCTGTGTCAGTGAGACCAGCCTTTCTGGGCAGGTGCTGGCAGCTGGCCTCCAAAGCCCCCACCTGCCACCAGGCAACTTCTCCCTTCCCCTTCCTGTATTTCCTGCATCTAGATAAAGGGATATGTCTGTGGGATTTTTGGACCAACTCTAAAAGTTGGCACGGCAGGGGGCATTCTCAAAGGGAGCCCCAGCGGTCATTTCACAGTCACCATCCCCTTGGCCTGCAAATGGCTTTTTCTCAAAGCAGCAGCACCACCAAGCACTTAGGTTTCCATGCAGCCCTGGGCTGAAGTTTCTATCAGATTCCAGCTGGAGAGGCTGATGGGGGATGCTTTTACATTAAATCCACTCACAAAGGCCTTGGGGGTGGGGGTTGTCTACGGCAAGCCCTCTGATGCCATCAGCTATTGCCTAGAAAAGCGAAAAATAGGCAAAACCAAACCACCACCACCACCACTACCACTACCCAGAAAGGAAACAAGTTACCCCACCATATTAAATTTTTTAAAGCTTCATTGAAAGGCAAAGTCAGGTTCAGCTTGAACGGCAGGCTGGGGGAGCAAGGATTGCCCCCAGCTCTGCCACAGCCTCCCCAGGCGCACCCCTCCCCGCCCATTCCACAGCTAGACCCAGAGCAAGATGGGAGATTTGTGACCGCTGATGTGTGGCCCGTCCGAATGAAGGGGGCTTTTCATTAACAAAGTAGCCGCGGTGTCATCTTCCCCTGAGTTGGAATCATTCACTATTAGCACAATGTGTTATTATTGTATTTTTAATTGAAATGTAAATTCTGGGAACACTCTGACCCAATTTACTCCCAGGGAAAAAAGGGCAAAATTCTCATTTTCAAGGCTCTAGAAATGCAAGTTAGTGTTATTAATGATTAAGCTCTTTTTCCTTCCCAGCTCTTGTGGGTTGGGGGCCGGAATGGAGACCTTCTTATCCAAGCACAATGGTAATGCTACCCCGTCCTCAGAGTGCATTTGATGGCAAGGTAGATCACTGGGTAGGAAGCTTGCATATTTCCCCCAGTTGGTCGTGGGGTTCACACCTGGGCCTGGAAATGGTCAGAGTGTATTGATGCCGGTTCAGGTTTTAAATGACAACGATGACTGATGTGTGATTAAATGATTGATTAGAAGAGGAGATTATTGTCCCGTCTATTTTTAAAGAAACTTTCTTTGTCAAAACAGAACCGAGTGGAAACAAGATGGTTCAAGGGCTGATTCAGGCTTTGCCCACAAACGTTGTACTCTCACACCCCCCTGGCTGTTAATTCTAGAACCTACACTGAAATTCAAAGGACAATGAGTGTTCGCAGCACCAACTCTCCTTACATTAATTCTACCAACAAATACTTATCGAGTACCTACTAAATGCCAGGCCCCAGGAGTTAGGTGACAAAGGTGAATGTAAAAGCTTCACTCTGCCTACTAAGTTTTAGTGACAGCTCCTAGGTCACCTCCTAAGAGAGGCCTCCCTACCACCCAGTCTAAGACACTCCTGTCTACTCAGTCTGTCCTTGGCCCTTTAAGTATGTTCCCCATAGGGCTTATTACTGCTGGAATTATTTTCTGACTCACCCATTTATTTATTGCACATGTCTCTTTCCAGCCTGCTGCCACTATAATATAAGTTTCCTAAAGGCTCTGCCCTTGACTGCCACATTTTCCATTGTACTCCAAGAACAGAGGTGCCTGGCACCTACCAGTGATTAAAGAATATTTATTGTAAGAGGTTGCTTATGGTATAAGAAATACAAAAGTCCATCTGACCCAGAGACCTGCTGTATATCTTACCAATGCCATTAATTCCACATGCCTACTATGTGCTGCAGAAATGAATAAATGTGCCTTGGCCTGGAGGGAGCTCAGAGTTAGTGCAAAAGACAAATAATAAATACAGTCCAGTGTAATCACAGTGTAGACCGTGGTTCTCAGCCAGGGATGATTTTGCATCCCCCACCTCATCCAGGGGACACTGGGCAATGTCCTTTTGTTTGTCACAACTGGGGGGAGGTGTTACTGACTATCTAGTGGGTCAAGGTAAGGGACACTACACATCCTATATGATGCACAAGGAATTCAGAATTCTCTGGCTCAAAATGTCAATGGTACCAAGGTTGAGAAACTGTTATAGACAAATAATAGTATATAGAATTCATTATGGAGGCAAAGGTGGGGTGAAGGGGAGGCCCTTACCTAATGGTCTGGGCAAGCCTTGCAGAAGAGGCAGGCAGGGGCATAGCACAGGTATGCCCTTAACTCCTGGAGTCCCCTCTAAATCAAGCCAGAAGAGTTCTGCAAGGCCACTAACCCTCTCTCACTAGTCAGGTTAGGTATACCAACTCTTCTGATAGGAGTTCCCTAATGGAATCCATCATTTAGCAAAAGAAAGGTTGAGATCTAATAAGGGAATAGACTTATCAGTCTAGGCTGATGGGGAGTCTGGGGCATCTCCCTTCTCACTTTCCCCTGAAGTAAAGGAACAGTGTTGTCCCATGGTACCTAGATGGGTCACACTCACAAGCCAGTAAGGACCGACTCCAACATTCCCTCTCATTCCAGTCTCGCCTCTTTGCTGAAGCAGAGGTTGCTAGGGAAGAGCAGAGAGCCTTTTCGCTTATGCTTTCCATGTTACTCTTAAACAAGTTGTTCGTGGCTTCCTATAAGCAAAATGAAAATAAATACAGGTTTAGAGTTAATGATTGGCAAAATGAGCAAGACTCTGGGACTTCAAGACCAGGCAGGCAAAATGCCCCAGCCCGCCACCAGTGAGCAGAATCTTGTTGTCTGTTATTGGATGATCCCCAGGTTAAATCTTCGGCGGTGGTGGGGGGGGGGTTCTTTTTAAAGAAACTTGGCATTTCATTACATCTACTTATAGAACATAGATCAAATGCTCAGGAATGTGGTAGGGCGGGAGAGTCAAGAATGATGTATGGAAGGTCGGGGTAGGGTGGGAGGGTAAAGCCATAAAAAGAGTCAGCTCCGCCGTGGGCTCCGCCTTCTTGGAGCCTGGGACTGTGATGTTGTGTGTTCATAAACCAGGAGTTGGGGCTGAGCTAAAAATGGATCTGCCTCCCAGAGCCCCAGCCTCCACGTTGTCAAGGCCGGTCCTGTGAGCTCAGAACAGACATCTCAGGGTCCTTGGTGGCTCACCTGCCTGATTAGGTGACCCCTTACATGTGGGTTAAGCAAGGTCCCCATTTTTGTAGACAGAGAGGACAAAGCAGTGAGCCCCAGAGCTTTCTCTGGGGGCAGAATCCTCTCATTTATTTGTGAGTTGGCAAGAGATCCCAGCCCTGAGCTTGGCATGGAGGGAAGTAACAGAAAACGAATCACCCCGCTGCTGTCACCATCCAGAAGTCTGTAACCTAGTTGAGGCAAGGTGCATATATGTTAATTATATGGCAGCAATTACTAGGTGACCCCCAAAGAAAACGTCATGCTGTAAGAGTTCAGGGAAGACAGAGTTCTGGGCTGGGGAGTTGTCAGAGAAGCTTCTTGGAGATGGTGGTCCTCTGTTCTGGGGTCTCCTTAAGAGACTGACAGGATTCTCTGAACCCTGCTCTGAGGGTGGTTCCTTGAAAAATACAAAAGAACACATCATGCCCTAGGCTATGAGGACCTCTCAGTCCTTTGGGGAGGAGGAAGTCATCAGGAGTCCAGAGCCTATAAGCACCTCAAACCCAACACCTCCCAGGAAGAACTCTCCATCCCCCAAGCCTGTGGCTTTTCCTATATTAACTGTCCCAGGGAATGACACCGTTGACTACTCAGTCACCGTAGCAGAAATTGGAAGGTCATCCTGGAACCCTCCATCTCCCTTATCCCCTTCTAAGTGCTGAATGCTAATTAGACCTCCTTAAGATCTCTTTGTTAATATTTCCATTTCCCATTACAGTGTTAGCTCAGGCTCCTGTCCTCTTTTGCCCAATGATTCTATCTTAATTTATCTCCAGCCTGCATTTCTTCATATAAATTCCTCCTTGAAGGAGCTTTCTAAAATGCAAATCTGATCATAAAAGCAACTCGTGTTTAGTTAACACTTACTATATGCCTGGCTCCAGCATTAAGCATGTCATCAACCTTGTCTCCTGCAGGCCTTGCAGCTATCCTCTGAGATGGTATGACTTGACAAGCGCTTGGGGCTTAGAGAGGTAAGACACACATTAGCCCCAAAATACACAGCTCCTAAATGAGAATGTTGAGCTGGACACAGGCACCCAATGCCTGAGGTCATACTCTTAGCTGCCAGCTATAAGCTTCTTTTCACTAGCTTGCTTAAAATTCTTCTGTGGAGCCCAGAGCTTTCTAGATAGAAGTCAAGCTTGCTTAACCTTCCAGTCTTATTTCCTAGTGCTCCCCACCCCCTCCATCTTCATCTTCCTTCCCACCGTCTCTTCCCACCATGAGCCAAACAATGTGAACTGCCAAAAGTAATCAACCATGCTTTCAAATAAATAGATCATCCTTGAAGGCATTCCTTTATCCTCTGGCTTTTGTCGCAATCTCTTCAAGGCTTAGTGCAAACACCACTTCCTCCATGAAGCCTTCCCCACATAGCCCAGGTTAAGATGTGCCACAACAGCACCCCAAGTATCTGTCACAAGTCTCATGCTATACTGCAGTTGTCTATGCATTTGCAGAAAATAGACTGTGAGTTTGCTGAGAACGGGAACTATGTCATTCAGTTTTGTCCTAGCTCGGTGGCTGTCATATGGTAGGTACTTGTAAATGATTATTGGATGAATATATGAAGCAGGTCTTCAAAATATTAATAGTTAGAATGTATGTTAAATTGAAAGTTCCAGATGCTCAGCTTCAGAGAGAAAGAGACAGAGACAGAGATAGACAAAGAAGGGGGAAATATACATGTTCCCACTATATTGCTGCACAATGAGGCATTCATCTGGAATCAGGTAATCTTAGAGATTCTATATCCTCAAGGCTATAGTTGCAGTGTACAATACAGGAGACTGTAGTTGTCATATTTTTAAGCCTGGCATCTTAGTCAAATATCCCAGGGCATATACCCATTACACACAATACTCAGTAGCACACATGATTTTATAATCATCATGGAGTGATGAATCACTCAGTATATGCATGCTAACAGCATGGGCTGGCATCCCAGCTCTGCCAAGGGCTTACTGTGTGATCTCAGATGCATTCCTGACCCTCTCTGTACCTCAGTATCCTCATCACAAAATAGGGAAGTGAAAATAGCATCCTTTTTTGGTTTCTGTGACTATAAAATTAAATAAAATGTGTAAAACAAAGACTCCAAAAATGGTAGGTAATATTATCATGACACATAGTGTATTGCAAATAGTGACAAATTTAACTAGAGAATTTTTCTTGGCCTAAGAATTTCCTGGCACCCTTGCTGATTAGCTGAGACCTCCCTAGAAATTATAAAGATAGGGTGGGAAGTCATGGAATCATTTGTACAAAAAGCTGCATCTGCTGAAAAATCCATAAACCAAGAGTTAAACCCAGTCATCCACTAGTGAAGAAGAGCCATTTGGCATCTCATTTTCTTGCAGTGCAAGATCACCTGAGACCAGCCATCTTGGGGAGCAAGAAAGCCCAACATTCAGTTTCACGGGATTAAAAGACTATCAATAGCTTGTGACAAGCGCTTCCTGAGAAATGCATCCTGGTCAAATAGCAGCAATCATTAAATATATGAGGATCAGTCAATTTAATCTGTTCTTTTCGTATGGATTGATTGGGTTAGCAAAGTAACTGAGCTAGGAGACAATTGACATTTCTGCATCCCTTTCAGACAAGCTGGGGAAAGAAGGGGGCAGGGCGACTTGCAAAGGGAATCCATCCTCTACCCCTCACTCCCTGCAGGGTCCACCTGTGCATTGATTTAAGAATATGGAGAGGTCACCCAGCCATGGTCTAGGGGAGGGTCAAGAGTGCAAGCAGTTCCTCCTTGAGTCCTAATTCTCCATCCATCTCCTCTCCCTCCTCCCACAGGACCAACTTGCTGAAATCACAAATGACACTGATGAAGAGGCCACTGAGCCCTGACAGCCAGTGGCCCTGAAAAGCCCCCTCTAGCCAAGTATAAAGGAGCAAAGGAAACGAGAAATCAAGGTTAATTTGAAACAGACAGCAGAGCCCTGGGGGTCTGGGAAGCGGAAGCAGCTGGTCAGCCCTAGTGCGGGCACAGCCCGAGTCCAGAGGTGTCCTCACACACCCAGGGCTGACCCTTCACCGTCAGGGTGGGAGAAGTAGATAACTCCAGCCTCATTCCGCAGGGACACAATGCTGATTGACCCAGCACAGTTCTGAGACGTGCCCCGTGGAATAGATCCCCTTTCACCCATAGCAGTAACCAGCTCAATAACTTTGTGTGACTTTCCTTCCTTTCTTCTCTTACTCTTCTGCTCCTTCAACTCCTGTCTCCTGGGACATTTGTCAAGTAAATTTTTTCCACCTAAGTCCTTTGCTTTGGCTCTGCTTTTGGGTGAATCCAAACTTAAGCCTTGTGAGACACAAAAGATCCTGGGACCTTCCAGAGGCAAACATTTGAGGGCCAACGGATTCCTGGCTTGTTCCAAAGCAAGTGAGGATGTGTGCTGTGCCCTTGCTATGCCCCACACAGCAGAAATGACTCCCAGAAGTGTTCATTTGGAGCTGTGCCACTGTTCCCTTCCTGTAGCAGGGTGGCCTACAGGAATGATCTAGACCTCTCTGGAGATAGCTCATTGGCACAAGTATAGTTCTTGATTGTACGACATTCTCATTCGAGCCCATGACTTCCATCCCACAGGCAGGGCAGGACAAGGAATCCTCAGTTGACTGAATGGCAAAACCGAAAGCATTCTCACAAATTCTTTGAAATAAGTTTGATTGCATCTTAATAAAGTCATTCAAAAAAAGAATGTCAGCTTGGTATTTTCTCATTTTTTTACTTTGGTAAAGCAATAAAACAACCCATCTTTGGGGCATGTGGAAACCATCCATTTTATTCTGTCTTTTTCTAACCCCGTACCTCTCCAACTGTGGCATGTTTTAGGAAACACAGGACCATACTACTTAATAACTTTGAATCACATAGTGAAAAAAAATTTTCCATTACAATTCTCTTCTGTTCTATAATGACAAGCAGAGAGGCTCATTTTGGTGCTAATATAGTTTAACTATCTTTCCAAAAAAGAGAGACTGGGTCTCAGGCAGATAACAGTATCTGGCTAAAATTTTATGATTGCTCTATTTTCATGGAGTTATTTTCAGGTCTGCTACTTTTTTTAATAGAAAAGGAAGATCAATTTCCACATATGGAAATGATATGTGTTCTTTTAAATAAATTTATTAAAACAAAAATATTCATTAAAATATTAAGCACCTGGTCATGGTGAAATTTATGCACACTGTTTGAGAATGACTGAAGTTTGGGAAACACTGTGGTGGGCCATCCCCCCACTTGTGATCTCTCTCCCCTGCTTTCAGAATCAGTTCTCTTCTTTGATGATTAACATGGAAAATTTTCCATTGAAAGGAAGTCATCAATCTGGAAGAGGATTCAGAGATCTCTTGTGATCTTGACAAGGGCCCTCCCCTTTCTGGAACTCAGTTCCCTATCTTCAAAATGGGTGGTAGAATGGGTAAGACGACCTCTAATTACCCTTTCAGCTCTGATGTT